AGCTGTTTATATAGTTTATCTGCTCTGGAGCAAGACACTTTTTATTCAAACACTTGGGGAAAAATCAGGTCCAGGTGATTTTGTGGTGAAGTTGGAGAAATATTAATTTGTAACTTTTGACTGATGCCATGTATGAATGAATATAAATATAATATAATAAAATATAAATATATAGAGAAATTTTACAGTAGAAATGATGGGGAAAAGCTTTTATGGAGTAAGAAAGTTGTCAGAAATAATCATGTGCATAGGGTAGAAATCTGTGCATATTTGCCTGTAGCATAAAATAAATATTCGTAAACTCTAGAATGAGTCCAGTCGTAAATAAAATGTGTTGTGTGTATTTTATTCATCAGAATACGAATTGAAAAGTTACAACATTCAAAAATTACAATCACGAAATAAAAATGTTACAATGACATTTCTCGTTCAGAGTAAGTATTTCTAGACAATATTACACCGAAGCGTTCAGTTCCCGAATTCAATGTGAGAAGACAAGTCCATTTTTCACAGTAAATTATAATGAACTCACCTGTTTGTCGGCTGTTGTTGTTCCTTGTTGTGCCGTTACTCTGTTTTTACCCTCTGCTTTTACCAACTCTGCTACAACTTAAGTGCAATTCGATGTTTCTCAATAAATAATGTCTGTGAAATGATGATGCATTTTTTTATAGGGGTGTGCAAAAATATAAAAATATCGATATATCGTTTAATGTGATGATACAGTATCGATATCATGGGTAGCTGTATCGATATATCGCCAAGAGTATTTTTTGGTATATTTTACTAAACTATTTTGTTACAGGGCTGCAGTTTTGTTGTTTGTTTTGAGGAACGAAACTCTTTTATGCAACAAATTTGACATTTTTACTGTTTTGCTGATTAAAATGGGCGTATTTCATAATAACTATGCACTAAGTGGTTTAACAAACACTTTTAGTATCACAGCCATGATTTAGCCTTTATTTTTATTGAACTGTATTGAATTGATTTGAAATATATCATATTGAATCCAAAGTGCACTGTATGGAGATATGTATCGTATCATGACCTGTGTATCGAGATATGTATCGTATCGTGACCTATGTATCGAGATATGTATCGTATCGTGACCTGTGAATCGAGATATGTATCGTATCATGACCTATGTATCGAGATATGTATCGTATCGTGACCTGTGTATCGAGATATGTATCGTATCGTGACCTATGTATCGAGATATGTATCGTATCGTGACCTATGTATCGAGATATGTATCGTATCGTGACCTGTGTATCGAGATATGTATCGTATCTTGACCTATGTATCGAGATATGTATCGTATCGTGACCTGTGTATCGAGATATGTATCGTATCGTGACCTGTGTATCGAGATATGTATCGTATCGTGACCTATGTATCGAGATATGTATCGTATCGTGACCTGTGTATCGAGATATGTATCGTATCGTGACCTGTGTATCGAGATATGTATCGTATCGTGACCTATGTATCGAGATATGTATCGTATCGTGACCTATGTATCGAGATATGTATCGTATCGTGACCTATGTATCGAGATATGTATTGTATCGTGACCTATGTATCGAGATATGTATTGTATCAGCAACTTCTTAATGATACCCAGCCCTAATTTTTTATAGTCGAGTCATGTCTGTGAACTTGTATTCGGACTGAAGAAAGTGTTATCGTAAATTTAAATTATGTGATTGTAATTCTTGATGTGATAATTTTTCAATTTGTATGATGGATAAAACACACACAATACACTGTATGTGTGATTGGACTCATTTGAGAGTTTATGAATATTTATTTTAGGCTTGACTACAGACAAATATGCACAGACGTCTATGCACACAAATATTTCTGAAAGCTTTCTAACTCCATAAGCTTCATGAACAAAAACATGGGTCAATTTAAACTGGTGAACAGAAAGCCATAGCAGTTTGTAAAGTCTGATCCTGTCACATCTCAGAAGCTCTGCAGGGCTGGTCTGGTTAGGACTTGGATGGAGACACTGGGAAAATCAGGAGCCACAGGGGGGCGCCAGTCTTAAAAACTGCTGTTGTGTCCTTAGGCAAGACACTTCACCCTCATTGCCTAGTATGAAAGTGGTGTGTGTATGAGTGATGGTGGTGCTTGGAGGGGCTGATGGCGCAGATTGGCAGCCTCGCTTCCATCAGTCTGCCCCAGGGCAGCAGGGCAGCTGTGGCTACAGCAGTAGTTTCCCACCACTGAGTGTTGAATGAATGAAGAATGAAATGTAAAGCACTTTGGGTATCTTGAAAGGCGCTCTATAAATGCAATGATTAATTAAAAAAACATTTACATTCATGTGGTGTTGGTATTGGACAAGCATCGATACTCAAAACGTATATTTTATTTGCACTGATCCAGTCTCTGAGTCCGAGCGCCCTTTTACAACAGACTAATGACTCAAGATGGAAGTAGAAAAGTGTTATGTGCTTGTATGTGAGACAAATGAAACAGAAAACGCTCACAAAGTTCTTGTAGAGGTGCAAATGCAGGAACGGCAATATAAAAGTGAAAAAATGTATAGCACACTCAGATGGCCAACATCTGAAAGCTTAAAAAAAAAAAATATAATATATATATATATATATATATATATATATATATATATATATATATATATATATATATATATGAATAACGTTTTGGCAAAAAAGCCTTTATCAGATCATTTTTCTTGCTTTGGACCACAATAAACCTAATACATGCACTACTGGTCAAAAGTTTTCGAACACCCTAATTTGTCCAGTTATTTATTGCAGTTCAAGTTGTGCGAGTCCAATGAAGAGCTCGAAATTGTGCAAAGGTAAAAACTGAACAGACAGAGGTTAAAAAAGATAAAAGATACAAAACACAAGTCCAAGCTCTGCCAAAACTACCTCAGGAAAAAAGAACTCTCCAGTGTCCAGACTTAAACCCCATGGAGCTGGTTTGGGATGAACTGGACAGAAGAGTGAAGCAACCTACAAGTGCCACACATTTATGGAAACTTCTGCAACAGACTTGGGAAGAACTTTATGGACAAGATTTGATTTCTGTTGTAAAAAGAACAAGCCACAAGTGTGTTCAGCTGTTCTATCTGCCAAAGGTGGACACTTTCATGAATCAAAAGTTTAGAATACGTTTCGGTCAACAGTAAACGGTTAAAAACTAGAAAAAGTGTCATGTTCTAAAACTTTTGACCAGTAGTGTATAAAGCTTTTGGACATCGGCCTCTATGCATTTTTTTTTTCATTTTTATATTGCTGAATGTGACACAAACATGTAGTAAATGATTTTATACTTCAGATAAATACATTTTGTTGTTATTTTTATAAACTTGAACAGTGAAATTGGTATCGGCAAATATAATCGGCCACAGTGTAACTATTATTTATTTATTGCGTGTGTCCGAGTTGAAGTAAACCGGTGGCAGATCTTTTCCCCAGTGTATTTGAGATTTTAAGGATTGGTCTGCTACTGTTTAGTTTAGTGTTGTTCATTTTGTTTACTTTGTTTATGGTTTGGTTTCATTTTAAAGTCATGTTATATCATTTTTAACCTTAAATGTGGTTTTAGTTTGGTTTAAGTTCCGGGGTCGTATTGGGAGGGTTTAGTTCAGACCTTGTAGTTTGGACTTTGGGTTTTGAAGTTATTTTGTTGTGTCTGTGTGGCAGCACTTTCTGTTTGTTCTGGGTGGGGCTGCCCCCTCTCAAGTCGTCCTTGTTTGGTTGATTTTTAACAGTTATTTCTGTTTCAGGATTTGTTTCCTCCACCCAAGCGCTGCAAGGGTTTATTCTGTTTTTATCGTATTAATCATCGTTGGTGTTTTTTGGGGGGGGTTTGGAATAAATACTTTTTAGCCTTTTAATAAATTTTAATTACATCTTTTAAAGTCATGTTTCTGTCCTTTATTTTCAAACTTATCTGTGGCCTTGGGTATTTTAGTTTTTTAAAAGTGAAAAAATGCTTAGCACACTCAGATGGCCGATGTCCAAAAGCTTTTTTTTTTTTTTAAATAATTAAACATTTCAGCAAAAAAAGCCTTCGTCAGATCATTTTTCTGGCTTTGGACCACAGTGTGTAAAAATAAAAAAAGTTTTTGGACATCAGCCATGTGAGGTGCTCTGCATTTTTACCACTTTTATTTGACTGTTTCCTTGCACCTTTTTTGCACCTCTACAAGAACTTTAACATGCGTTTTCTGTTTCATTTATTTGAGCATTTTAAACATGATTTATTGAGTCCCTTAGATAACAAATGTATTTATTTTACTTTTACTCATGGGTCAAAAATGTTGCATAAGTCTGACCCTATTACAGTTGCATTGTTACATGAGACTCGATCTATTTTTAGCTCAGCATTATGGTAAAATATCAGGCATGTCCTTCTGTGGCTCGCGCCTCTGTAAAAATGCCTTTGCTGAGGGTCACAGCGACACGAATACTCGAGTGGGGCGTGCTGTCGTTATCCCCCACACTGCAAAAAAAAAAGCTTGGCCAAAATGTAAGATAAAAGCGCTTTAAAGTATCAGAAAATGACTTTAAAAGAAGTGAAATGATGTGTCCATGCAGCAAGATGATTTCACTTGACGAGTTATGTTAAAATAAACCAAGTTTAGACTAGAATGAAGCAGTTTCAGAAGTAATAAGTCGATAAATGAACCTGAAAACAACATGAATAAACTGAGAGAAGTTTTAGAATCTTGGTCAGATCAGAGAAATTTGCAGCGCAGTTGGGGCAAACTCTTGGAACAGTTACCCACCCGGCCAGCAGGGGTCTGTCAAGCATCTCCAAACAGCAGCTGAATCAACAGGCGTCCCAACCCTCCCCCCTCCTCCGCTGGCCCAGGACCAACTCAAACCGGCTCCCACTGGCTGAGAGCGACCACACTCTCTTCTCCGATTGGCCGCCGGGCGCGTCACATGAGCGTCTATGCAAATGAGAGCCGTGTGGGGGTTGAAATCCGGGAGAGCTGTGCAAGGCTGGTCACTGAGAGGCAGGAAGAGGGAGAGAGTAGAGCAAGAGGAGCCGCACACAGACTCACAAAAGGGGGTGTGACGCAGTTATGCGCTTTACCGAACGCCGCTAATCCATTTGGAAAAAAAGTTCTACGGATTCTAAAGTTTTTCATCAATTTGGATGTACTTTCTCGATGAGTGCTGCAAGGTAAGCATGTGGGAGAGCTTTTATTTGAAGAAAATCCAACTTTTTTCTTACAGTTTCTTACGTTCTTCTTTGTTTTAATTATAATTTTATCTAATTACTCAGTTTACTTATAGAAAAATGAATAAATAGACGTTAAATGTTTGTGCAAAATGAAAACTGTTGACCACATTTTTTGACATTTTTATGCTGCAAGATAAGCATGTAAGCATCTTTAATTTGAAAAAAAATCTGTCAGACAAAATTTTCTTAACAGTTTTCATTAGTTTACTTATAAAAAATAAATAAATTGTAGTTAACTTTTTTGCAAACAATGAAAACTGTTGACCAAATTTTGACGTTTTCATAAAAAAAAGTAATAAAAAAGACCAAAATATAAATAAAATATAAAAATTTCACGTTACATTTAAAATTTTGTTCAATATTTTGGTGTCCTATCTGCATTGGACAGAAAAAGTCCAACTCAGATTCGCAAAACAGCAATAAAATTTAATGAAAAATGTAAATGAATGAGAAAATTAGTTTGAAAGTTTTACAAACAAAAGTTTAATAAAAGTTCGGATTCAAATTTAGTACATTTCGAAGTTTAGTGTCGTGTAATTTCGGTCCAAGCTCAAAATAAACAAAACTAAACAAATTTAACTTAATGTTCTTTTTAAGCACAATGAAAAACTTCACAAATATCACAACAAAACTACAAACCAAACTTAGACAGAATCTGGAAAACTCTGCCAAAAGAACCAAATGTTCTAATATCTTTTTTTTTGTTGTCCTTTTTTGGTCCCTCTCTGTTCTCCTCTCCTCTCTCCCCGCCCCCTCTTCCTCTCTCTTCTCTTCCTCTCTCCTCTCTCTTCCTCTCCACAGTGTTCTCCGATCCTTCAGTCCCTCTGTGATGCCCGGTCCAGTCATGCCCATGGATGTGGCCATGCGTTTCTACATTAGCCACTCTCCCCCTCCTCTCAGAAGCTTCCTCAGCTCCTACGAGGACCTGCAGCGAGCTAGCAAGCGCGCTAACAAGTCCCTCGCTAACAAGTCCCTGTACAAACCCCTGCGGCCCTGCCTCAGCTCCCAGCAGAAGGACGCCGAGCAAGATGGCGGCTGCTGGGCTAACAAGGCCAACAAGAAACGAGTGGTGTTCGCCGACATGAAGGGACTGTCACTCACCGCCATCCACGTTTTCTCCAAATTCGACGATGATTCGTACCAAAGCAACGAAGATTTGCAGTTCGACATGTGCGACCTGGAGGCGGCCACTATGGACCTTAAGATCAGCTCCACACGAAACCTGGCCCTTGACTTCAAGCAGCCGTCCGCAGACTACCTGGACTTCCGGAACAGGCTGATGCAGAACTCTGTGTGTCTGGAGAACTGCTCCCTGCAGGAGCGCGCGCTCACGGGCACCGTCAAAGTGCGAAACATCGGCTTCGAGAAGTCCGTCCAGCTCCGCATCACCTACGACTCCTGGGCCACCTTCACCGACGTGGACTGCACCTTCATGAACAACGTGTACGGTTGCCAGGATACCGATACCTTTGCATTCACACTGGAACTGCCGGGGTACGTCCCCCCGCACAACCGCGTGGAGTTCTGCATCTGCTTCCAGGCCCAGGCCCAGAGCTTCTGGGACAACAACGACGGGAACAACTACGCCCTGAAGCATGTGGGCTGGAACGGAGAGGACCTGGTGATTCCAGAGGTCAGAGCTGAGGCCAAACACGACTCAGAGTACGACCAGTACGGCAGCCCCCGCACCTCCAGCGGCATGTTCCCAGGCTGGCAGAGCTGGGGGCAGGTGGACACCTCTGTGCCGTACTGGTGAAGAGGCTGTCGGCTCTGGGACTCTGCTCTGACAGAGAGAGGACTGGACTGTCACATACTGACCTGCTTTAGAACTATGGACTATGCTCAAGTGTAGCAGAAGGACGAGGAGGGATGGCCGAGGGAACCCTGGGGTGTTTCCTGTTTTTGTAAAGAAATAATATGAATAATAATAATGTGCCTTACTGTAGCTGTAACTGTGCTGCCCTCTTTGTACAATCCACAGAAATGTAAAGGCTCATACGGCCTCTTGTAAAGTCCAAATATGCACTGATTGAGATGTCCCTCTCAATGTGATGTCTGTAAGGGAAGCTAATCCTTCATATTGAAGGGCATGAGGCGTGCATGACTACAGGCTTCTCCACACAGGCGTCCCCCCATGATGCACACTAAGCTCCTGCACCTTTTAGAAGTCCTCACACATCAGACCAGCCTCTCCTGCACTCTGCACATAGACTCATAGACTGGTCACTTGACCGCATTTAGATATAGGGAAATGAGCTGCTATAGGCCCTAGAGAGACTCTGCACGTGATTGGTCGTCTTGACGGGGAGGGGGCGTGGTTATGTCTGTGGTTTCAGAATGTCAGAAGCTGATGTGTACAGTGTTGTGTTTTTCACAAGTGCAATTGTGTGATGAGTGGACAGAATGAGTAGAGCGTGTGGTGCAGCTTCTGTTTGTGTCCTGTCTGAATGAGACCAGCGTTTGTGTTCACTTGAAGGTGTGAGCCCACCACACCACAGATGTGTATACTCTTTAATAAAAACATTTCTATATTTGTGCTAAACTCTCGTCACTCTCATCATTTTACACACACATCTTAAAGACCGAAGGTTGATCTCACACAAGAGAAACAGCAGTTATTTCTGGACAGTAATTACCTCAACAGGATTGTGCTCGTGTGGATATAGTGTAGTTAATTTTAGATCTTCACATAATTATGGCATCAGTGAACACATGTAAACAATGTAATATCAGTGTAAAGACAGAGTAATGACAGTGTCATATCAGAGTAAGAACAGTGAAATACAATCACCTCCATAGATTACATAATTATTGTTTGTAAACATAAATTCATAAATAGTTCAGAAACAGAAATGCACGAGTTATTTACAAACACACGATTAAAAAGTGAGGGGATTCAGAAGTGGGAGGGGCCTATTTCTACGACGACCACATCAGCACGCCACAAATACATTTTATATTTGGATCATAACATCGTGTGGTAGTACCTCAAAGGCCTGTACATGTATGTGGGCGCAGTACATGTGTATTGTACATGGAGCTCTTGAGGTCAACATAAGGCCGCTGTGCACTGCTGCATGTGTGTTTTCTTTTGAGAATCAGGAAGTGTTAGCATGCTAGTTGATGTTTGATGTGAAAAGCACTTAAAAGTTTTATCATGGTGAATAATTAGGATGCTCAGGGCAAACAGTTTAAAATGAACTAGAAAATGTTTGCAGAGTTAAATCATAGTAGTAACCATTAGCTAAGGTTAACCTAAATACTGTAACCGGACGACCGGCGCTACCGAGCTCGTAAGATATTTAAAGGCTTACCGAGGCGAGAGCTTGGCACCGCCTCAGGACTTGGCACAACATGGCAGCCTGTTCATAGCGTTTGGCGTTGTTTGCATGTGTCAGGTCCTTTTACCATTCTCACGTTGGTGCTCGTCCCTAGAGCCAAACGGTTTATTAGCAAACCTTTAGTGGGATTTTATTTTGAGTGTTAGTATAGGCTCTCTAAAGCAGCAATGTGCAAATATTGGCCACCGGCTCGTCTCCGTGGAGATAGAGAAGATTAGCGTTGTTAATTGTTGTTTGTTCAAGAGGCGGTATTACGCGAATTGACTTTTTTAAAGCTTTCCCGGGCAATATTCAAACCCCGGTAACAAGTCTGTACGCTACGACTTCACAAACCTTATGTATGTGCAGTAGTTTGATTAGCAGGACGCTGATGCTGTGTTGTAAGGGCGCTCTGAAGGGGGAGTGACTTAGCGTGGAGTGCTAAGATAGAGGGGACTCAGATCATGAAACTAGTGTGGTAGTACTCGAGACGTTTTTTTTTTTACGGTCTCGTCTTGAACTTGTTTTGACTCAATCTTGCCTCGGTCTTGGTCTTTAAAAGTCTTGGTCTTGTCTCAGTCTCGGTCTTTAAAAGTCTTGGTCTTGTGTTGGTCTTTAAAAGTCTTGGTCTTGTCTCGGTCTCAACCTTTAAAAGTCTTCGGTCTTGTCTTGGTCTTTAAAAGTCTTGGTCTTGTGTTGGTCTTTAAAAGTCTCGGTCTTGTCTCGGTCTCGGCCTTTAAAAGTCTCGGTCGTCTTGTCTTGGTCTTTAAAAGTCTTGGTCTTGTCTCGGTCTCGGTCTTTAAAAGTCTTGGTCTTGTCTTGGTCTTTAAAAGTCTCGGTCTTGTCGTGGTCTTTAAAAGTCTCGGTCTTGTCTCGCTCTCGGTCTTTAAAAGTCTTGGTCTTGTCTTGGTCTTTAAAAGTCTCGGTCTTGTCTCGTTCTCGGTCTTTAAAAGTCTTGGTCTTGTCTTGGTCTTTAAAAGTCTTGGTCTTGTCTCGCTCTCGGTCTTTAAAAGTCTTGGTCTTGTCTTGGTCTTTGAAATTCTCTGCCTTGTCTCGGCCTCTGTTTCTGAAAGTCTTGGTCTTGTCTTGGTCTCGACCCTCAGAGGTCTTGGTCTTGTCCTGGTCTCGGGACCCTGTGGTCTTGGATTGGTCTTGGTCTTGATTAATGTGATCTTGACTACAACACTACATGAAAGTAATTTTACATTTTAATATGTTGCTTTAACTTTACTTTGAAAATAACTTTGGACCACAGCAAATCATTTAAACTGAGTAAAAGTTTTTAAGACTTACATTTTTCAAGAGCGTCTGCACATTTAAGGTTTATTGGACTACATTATTCTAGTTTCATGCCAACTTTATTTAAAATTTTCACAAAAAGAAAGTTTGCTTTATCACACATGTTTGATGAGTTAAAACGTAGTAGTAACCAGGATCTAAGATTAGTCTAAATAGTGTAAATAGTGTAACCGGACAACTGGAGCTACCGGACTGGGAGGATATTTAAAGACTTACCAACGCCAGAGCTTGGCACCGCCTCTGGACTTGGCACAAAATGTCTTCAGAATGATCTAGAGCTGCAGCAGAACAAGTATAAGAGCACATAGACTAGTACACACACATGGACCACTGTGGAACCTACTGGAACACTGAGGATTACACACATGTAAGACCACATGCAAAAAGAAAAGAAAGTACTACTGTTTAATGTGGAAAATCACATTCTGTTGTCTAAAGAAAGAGTTTTTTCAAATGATCAGGGTGGTGGTTCTTCTTTAGTATTGAGTTTGAAATGTTAGTATTGTGAAAACACTATACACACCTTTTCAATGTATCATATCTCCATGCATTTGTCTAAACCAGGACTAAACCAAGTTTAAACCAGGTCTAAACCAGGTCTAAACCAAGTTTAAACCAGGACTAAACCAAGTTTAAACCAGGTCTAAACCAGGTCTAAACCAGTTTAAACCAAACTAAACCAGGTCTAAACCAAGTCTAAACCAGGACTAAACCAAGTTTAAACAGGTCTAAACCAAGTTTAAACCAGGTCTAAACCAGGTCTAAACCAGGACTAAACCAAGTTTAAACCAGGTCTAAACCAGGTCTAAACCAAGTTTAAACCAGGTCTAAACCAGGTCTAAACCAAGTTTAACCAGGTCTAAACCAGGTTAAACCAGGACTAAACAGTAAACCAGGTCTAAACAGGTCTAAACCAAGTTTAAACCAGGTCTAAACCAGGACTAAACCCTAAACCAGTCTAAACCAAGTTAAACCAGGTAAAGTCTAAACCAGACTAAACCAAGTTTAAACCAGGACTAAACCCAGTAAACCAAGTCTAAACCAGGACTAAACCAAGTTTAAAAGTTAAACCAGGATAAACCTAAACCAGACTAAACCAGGACTAAACCAAGTTTAAACCAGTAAACCAAGTCTAAACCAGGACTAAACCAAGTTTAAACCTAAAAGGTCCTAAACCAGGTCTAAACCAAGTCTAAACCAGTTAAAGCAGGTCTAAACCAAGTTTAAACCAGGACTAAACTAAACCAGGTAAACCAGTCTAAACCAGGAAACAAGTTTAAACAGGTCTAAACCAGTTTAAACCAGACTAAACCAAATCTAAACCAGGTCTAAACCAAGTTAAACCAGGTCTAAACCAGACTAAACCAGGACTAAACCAATCTAAACCAGTCTAAACCAAGTCTAAACCAGGACTAAACCCTAAACCAGGTCTAAACCAGGTCTAAACCAGGACTAACCAATCTAAACCAGGTCTAAACCAGGACTAAACCAAATCTAAACCAGGACTAAACCAAGCTAAACCACTAAACTAAACAAGTCTAAACCAGGACTAAACCAAATCTAAACCAGGTCTAAACCAGGACTAAACCAACCAGTCTACTAAACCAGGACTAAAATCTAAACCAGGTCTAAACCAAGTCTAAACCAGGACTAAACCAATCTAAACCAGGTCTAAACCAGGACTAAACCAAATCTAACCAGGTCTAAACAGGACTAAACCAAGGTCTAAACCAATCTAAACCAGGACTAAACCAAATCTAAACCAGGTCTAAACCAAGTTTAAAGCAGGTCTAAACCAAGTCTAAACCAGGACTAAACCAAATCTAAACCAGGTCTAAACCAGGACTAAACCAATCTAAACCAGGTCTTAAACCAGGACTAAACCAAATCTAAACCAAGTCTAAACCAGGACTAAACCAAATCTAAACCAGGTCTAAACCAGGACTAAACCAAATCTAAACCAGGTCTAAACCAAGTCTAAACCAGGTCTAAACCAGTCTAAACCAGGACTAAACCAAATCTAAACCAGGTCTAAACCAGGACTAAACCAAATCTAAACCAGGTCTAAACCAAGTCTAAACCAGGACTAAACCAGATCTAAACCAGGTCTAAACCAAGTCTAAACCAGGACTAAACCAAATCTAAACCAGGTCTAAACCAGGTCTAAACCAGGACTTAACCAAATCTAAACCAGGTCTAAACCAGGACTAAACCAAATCTAAACCAGGACTAAACCAAGCCTAAACCAGGACTAAACCAAGTTTAAAGCAGGTCTAAACCAGAAATAAACCAGGACTAAACCGAATCTAAACCAAATCTAAACCAGGACTAAACTAGGACTAAACTAGGGATAAATATACAAGTAAACCGGGACTAAATCAGAACAAAACCAGGTCTAAACCAGGACTAAAACAGGTTTAAACCAGATCTTAAACAGGATTAAAGCGGGACTACACTAGGACTAATCCACGATTAAAGTGGGTCTAAACCAGGACTAAAACAAGTCTAAACCAGGTCTAAACCAGGTCTAAGTCTGCCTTAAACGGCTGTTGTTTTGGGTCATGTTATCTCGGCCCTGGGTTCTTCAGTCTCTGACCTTTGACAGAGCGGTCACATTCTTCCAGTTTAACTCGGGACACTCAACTCACTCTGAATCCTCACTCTGAATCCTCACTCTGAATACTCACTCTGAATCCTCACTCTGAATCCTCACTCTGAATACTCACTCTGAACTCACTCACTCACTCTGAATCCTCACTCTGAATACTCACTCTGAATACTCACTCTGAATCCTCACTCTGAATACTCACTCTGAATACTCACTCTGAATACTCACTCTGAATCCTCACTCTGAATACTCACTCTGAATACTCACTCTGAATACTCACTCTGACACCACCAAGAGAGTAAAAAAACACTCTTA